CCCTTAAAGTTAAAAAGTTAAATAAGGAAGTCCTGCAGCAATATCGAACAAGAGGATATCTTTATTTGTGATTTTTATCAATAGAATACATCTTTATATTGTATTTTAATTAAAATAAATCTAGATTTTGTAATTATACGGTGTTTTGCATATTTTCAAATGGGTATCCGGTTTGACCCTACCAGTAGGACAAAACTGGGTACTTTGACTTCTCTACAAAATCTTGTTATTATTGGTAAACAAAAATTTTTTTTTCAGCAATTAGCCTTATTTTCTCATAGTTTAAGGTTCAGTAAAGACTACTAACGGTCGGCAAAATTTTTTTTACTCTTAGATTTTTTGTAGGAAGACAAATCCAAAAAAGTATCCGATTTTACCCTACTTCCCCCTATATCTGATTACATGTATTATTTCGCAGAAAACATAACGTAGCGCGGCTACGAAAGTAAAGCTTTTCTTTTGTTGAATATTTTGTATTGTATACACGTCACTCCCCTTCGCCCTTTCGATTAGCTTCTATCAAATGATTTCATATTCTCTTACCCGTAACGTGCAGACAAATCAGCAAGAATATTCCTGCAAGGCGCAACATTTCGACGTTGTTCTTAGACGTGGACTTGAAAGCGCGTCAGCCGCTCGGTGATCGGTTATATCGCGTGCTGCGAAAGACTAGAATCGAACTGACTCAATGACGAGCAAGAATCGAGAATACCGAAGATTCAAAGATTCGAACAGCCACAGACAACAACCAGTCGAGTACGCGATCCCGCCCAATGCGAGCTTGGACGCAAGAAGCGACTGCCACCGGACCCTATAAAGATAAAACGCAAAAAAATATCACACTACCAACTGCGATTGCCAATCGTGACTGCGGACTCTAATCAGTCAATCACATTTGCCAATGTCTGCCGCCAACTGATCACATGAAGCTAATTCTAGGGAATATAGTATCAATATTAGCGAAAAGAAAATATTTCTTTCAATATGTGCAAAATTTGAAAAAGCGAAAGAAAATTGCTGCTTTATAATTATTGTTTTTGATAGAAGAGATCCAGCGATACAAGAAGCAAAGATTGTGGATAAAGTCATGATAGCGCGGAGGCAAGAACAAGGAGTACATCACAACCTTTTTGTTGAATTAAGCCTTGAAGATCCAAAAAAATTTCGCAGATATTTCGAAATTAAAAAGTTAAGTATTTTCAAGTATTATTTAGAAAAGTAGACGTGATATAAAGTTCTTTTTTTTATTTGGAACAGATGTCTGAGAATGAACACTGCCACCATTGAGAAGCTTTTTAAAATTGCATCTTTAATTATAAAATAAAATACTCATCTTAGAAAAAGTATTCCGCCAGCAGAGAGATTATGGCCTAGTTTATACCGATATACTTTACCACGTACTAAATACTATATTGGTCGATCATAGCCATTCCTTTAAAAAATGAAATGGCTGTGAGTGGTCAGTATAGTATTTAATACGTATTAAAGTATATCGGTGTAAACTAGGCCTATCTCTCACTTTGAGATATCTTGCCACAAATATTCATTCTCACCACAGAGATTTATCACTCCTCTTAACGTGAATGGTTATACAAGAATGTCACATAGAAATGCTGAAAGCTTTTTTAAGTTGGTGTTTTTTTTAGGTGAAATTCAGGAAAGTTTATCTATGTCTTTTTGATTGTCGAGGAAATCGACATACTAATGTAGCTATTAATTTGCGAATGGTGTGCCTATTTCAATGGTATTGGTGCAGTACCATGGCAAGACAAAATGATAAAATAAAATAAATATGTGTGATTGCTTTATCAACTTAACTAGCATAATTGTCAATGTAGTAATAATATTAATAATTCAATTAATATTCTGTTATATGATCTATAGAAATAAATAAAGAGTTTTCTAAATCAATTACGTTTATTTTATAGAAATTGGTGTAGAAGAAATCACACACACATATAGATAAAATTACAATTACAAAATAAACAACTATTACAACTACTACAAAATATGGATATGTAAATTGCTTTTTTTTATACAAATGCAGTTTTTAATACAAATAAAATTTTTGGGTAAAGCAGTACAAAAATGAAACAAAACACTGGATATTATCCAACTCTAAAACAACTCATATTTTATGTATAAACATATATTTTCATATCATTAGGTTTGGCTTCCGGATTGGAGCCGCATTGTTCTTGATTTAGAATCCGACGTTTTGAAAGTCAAACCTTGTGATATAAAATACAGAAAAGCTTCAAATATCACATATACTTTCAACTTCTCTTAAGTTTGAATACTGTACATATTTATCTTTTTGAAAGATTCTAACAATCTCGTGACTCTAATAAATAAATAAAACATACATAAAATATTAAATCAAATAAAAGAAATAAGGCAAAAAAAATTTCTATTTAATTTGTCAAATTATGATAAAAAATATCATTAGGGAATACTAGCAAGAATTTTCATTATTTCTAATTCAATTTTCCTCCATTGCTTTGCATCCATAACTCTTAAACGAGCTGTAATATAAACGCCAAAATGGTCATGTGCATCCATTTGGTCATTGGGATAATTTGATAACACAGGTCTGCATAATTTTGCGGTCTGGAAAAAACAGATAGTTTCCTATAGTTTTTTGTGTGTTGAATCCAAATTTGCAAGGCAAAATGGCCTACCACGTCAGGTTTTTGAGAAAAATAAGATTGAAACACCCAAAAAACGCGTTTTTTACCATTTTTAAGAATTCGTAGCAGACGAACCCGATGTGCAAGAGACTTCAGACAGGGCTTAAATAAAAGCTTGAACATGGTACTCTAATATAAAAATATCGAATCTTTTACCGCAAGTACCATCGAACCTCAGGCGCGCTTTGTTTTTAGGTGTAGTCGCACTGTGTCAAGTAGAACGATTGCCCCATGCAGTCCGACTCCATCCAAATTTGAGTGTTAACCATCTAAGTTGAGTGTATTTTTCCATAAGGGATGCGCGAGGAAGAAAAACATGTCCCCTTTATCCCACTTATCTTAACATACAGTAAGATAGATAAAGTTCTGGGGCGATGTATGGCTTCATGTAGAAGTCGCGGATTGACAATCGTCAGATCCCAGATTCGAATCCGTTCGAACCCCATCCCCTATATGCCTCTTAAGAGAAGGGACGTTACGAGTACGCAAGTACGCTTCAGCGTAGGGCGCAAAATTGAAATTATATAAGGGCGGCAAAAATGTGTGAAATGTCTACAAACATGTAAAAGTTTCCCGCTCGATGTACTATAACCGCCCTACCTGACTGATGAATACCGCCCGCTTGTAGAAGCTTAACTGGATATAAAACATAGGGGTCCTATTAATGATAAATCGAGAAGTAAAAAAAAAGCTAAACTATAATCCTATGCTGGGTACTAGGGTGCGCGAACGAATTGCAGCGTAGGGGCGCCTAAGGCTCTCGTAACGCCCCCGCTTAAAAGATTGAAAAAAGATTAAGATATTCAGAATAAGTATGAGAATATACATATGCGCAAAAGATTATTAGAATTTTTAGATTCCTACTAAAATAATATGGTAAATATGAGTTTAATGGATAATATATATTATATGTGTGTGTATAAAAGAAATAGGATGGCCTAATGGTCGACTCGAAGGCGCATGCGACGGTTTTATATCTTAAGAAAAAAACAGGTAAAGATCTATCTATATTTAATATATCTATGATATACTTATAATCACTAAACTCTATTATACGTATTGGAACGCGCCTTCCTATATAAGTCTGATATAAACGTGCAGGATGACAAAGAGGGCACTGTGTGATCTTTGTCTCTTTTCTTCTTAGATTTTTGCACTGGTGTATGTATATATAATCGACACCATTATCACCATAGACTTTTGACGGTGATTCTACCACTAAAAAAGAAGACCTACAACAGAAGGAGACAAAAGATCACGCAATGTTCTCTTTGTCATCCATCTTGAGTAGCACGGCGCTTTCCATATGTATAGAGTTCAGTGTTTGTAATTGGGTATAATGTTTCGAATTGCCTGACAAACACACCGAGTTGTTGGTACTCTTTCTTACCATAGATCCTCCCCCATCATAGAATAAACACCATCTATATATATTTTATATGCTATGACAACTTCCAACA